AGAAAAATATGGTTTCGACTGACGAAAGTATGTTTAAAAAAACTTTTCGATCATAGCTACCTAGTTAAACGAACAGCTGTTTCCGGTTTAGAATCAAACCGACATGATCGTTGACGAGGCCGGTGCAATCGGTCAAATTCTTTCTCAATATCAACATCGTATAGTTTACCATGTTCTTCTCCACACTAGAATATATAAAATAAATACTGAACACAGAAACAACAATATGTATAATTTTACTAACTATTAGAATGTTTATCAATGATTGATCATCATTTCTCATTATTTTTATTAATTTCAAAGTACTATCAATTAAATCTATTGACGAAAGTATATCGAGTTCTTTCGATTGTAAATGCTTTGTTAATGAATGTGTTGTTCTTGTAATATTTTCTAAAAATTTTAATAAAACGAAAATTTCATACGACATCAATTTATTCTTTAAAGCTCTTCCTTTTAACATTGTTTCTTTATCAAAATTTGTTTCTTCTTCAACTAAAATTAAACACTGAAGAATTATATCATATGATTCAATGACACTATGAATTGATTCATAATTTGCACTCCATCTCGTTCCTGATAATGATTTAACACTTAATCCATAAGGTGATTTGTCCAGCTGTTCACGAAGAACATGGTATCTTTTGATACTAGTTGTAAAAAAATTATATAATTCCTGTAACAACATGAATAAGCTAGTATATTCGACCGAACAATCAGATGCATGTTCCACAGATAAATTTGAAGTATGTGCGCCGCACGGAATGTGTATTATTTCTCTATTTAAATGATTATTAATACATACTTGAACACCTTTGTGAGCACCTCCCATGTTTGGAGCATTGTCGTAACATTGTCCCACAAGTTTATCAACTGATATTCCTTTTCTTTCCAACGAACATAATAATAGCTGACATATCTCTTTGCCAACTTTGCTTGGCAACTCTTGTAAAGACAACAGACGTTCCTTCACTGCATAATTTTGTGTATATCTGATGACTATGGAATACATTTCCCTGTGGGATGAGTCTGGAGTACTATCAGTCATGATTGAGATATATGGTGAATTGTTAATTTCACAAACAACTAAATGCTGAACTTCTTCACCTAATAATTGTATGTACTCGTCTTGTGATCGGTGACTTAAGTACGATACCTAAACAAGTAATATGACTTTTTGAATATCTGGTCGAAGAGAAAATAGATATATAATACTTGATATTTATCTAATTTTGCTTTTAAAAACCAATCATTCAATATATGATTATTTCGACGTTGTAATTGAATAAGTTGAATGAAGTTACCTAATTGACAAGAGAATATTGTGGTAAAATAAACAGAAAAATGTTCCTATAACTTGCAAATATAGACCTTCATTTTCCGGTTCTCGACGAAATGCTAAACCTTGTGCTGCAAGAAATCTTGCTGAATCGAGTAAAGTAACGATTACTTCTTTATTTAATTGTAGAATTTTTTCTTGTTCTTGATTTTCTTTACGTCTATTATTGTCAAGCATTAAATCAACATTCAATTTCTTTGTTTTAAAATTTAAGTAGCGATTAACTGATGCTACATGCGCAATCGATGAGAAGTGTTGTTCGAGTTTACCTAAATGCAAAGGAAATAATAAAATAAAAACAATCAACTCGAGGTCTACATTAAATCACAGAAATTTAATACGCTTTTATCAACCTTTTTTTTTTGCCCCTACACTTTTCATTTTGTTCCACATACGAACACCATTCGATGTCCAAGCATCAGCATGTTTTTCACTTCCTGGTCCTAATGAAAATAGTAAAAGTTGCAGGTATCCGGCTAAAAAACGCCTTCAGTTTAGCCTTACCATCGGTAAATAATCGACAAGTAAAGCAAAATGCAGCATCTTTTTTTTCACTATATTCTAGGTATGAGTGTTCTTCATACCATTTTGTTGCAAATCTGCATGTCTTTCCAGTTGTATATAATTCTTCATTTCTTGGATAATGATCTAATTTAATTTGTAATGGACCTACTGAAGCAAAATACCGTAATTCTTCTTCCGTAAATTTGTAGTTGCTGTTGTATGAACCTGAAAAGTTAAACAAGAAATCGGACAAATAGAGGTCTTTAGGAGGGTTTCAAATATTTTTTTTGTTCACCTGGATCACGATCAATTAATTTATCTTGTTTTGGATTAGTTACTATTATATTATTTCGATTTGTTTCTATCATTGATATAAAACTTGTACATAAATTTTTCAAATCAGTTCCATATTGGACAATTTTTTCAGCAAAAACGTTTGATTGTTCTACAAATATTTCTGGGCAAATGTCAATTGATGTAGATGATTTGATCAGCTTTTGGCATGACTCAAACAATGTTTCAATTATACGAAGTTGAACTCCAATTTCATCCACAAAAGTTTTATCAGTTGAACATTCCATCATTGTTGTGGTTGGTGTTGTTGTTTGTCGAACTGAAGATGAATTACCTAAAATTATCAAACGAAATATAAATAATCAGCTTGGATCATCAGCATTGAATGTAAAAAAAACAATTACTTGGTGCTGGTTCATCTTCTATATCACTCTCTGTTATTATTATGTCATTGTTTGCTTGAGTTGAAACTTCGCTTTCAAATACCACCTCTGCTGTTGTTAATTCTTCTTTATTTTCCACACTTACTGCTACATTCGATTGTTCATTTGAGATTGAACTATTAGATGTGACTGCTGATGAACAGATTGTAGAAGTTGTATCATCAGCCTTCTTTTTTTTGAAATATTTTAATATATCATGACCATCTTTACTTCTTTTGTTGCGTTTTGAAGATGGTAAATTTGAATCCATTTCATATTCCTCAATATGATTGTTTAGTAATCATTATCTAAAACTAAATCAGAGGCAGTTTAAAAGCTGTATCTATATTTTCTTCATCTTGTCGCTTTTTTTCTAAACTGGTATAGGTGTGAAAAAAATTCTATCGGCACGTTAAATACATATTTTGTGGTTTCGTTCAGCCAATATTACATTTAGCATAACCATATCAGTATAGAGATCGGACTCTTTATTTTTAATATTTTTCATCTTTTATGTTTTTATTTCTTTTTTTCTCGCGTCCTTGTATACGAATACGGTAGAACAGAAAGAAGCACGTACACAAGAGTAAATAACTACTATAAAATACATGTAATTTTTTTCAAAATTCAAAGGTTTTTTTTATTTAAT